CACCCCCCCAGGCTGCGCTGAAATGCAGCACGAACGCAGTCAGCTCTCTCCTGACCTGTGCAGAGTCTTCTGTAAACAGGTTTCTAAAGCCGGCTGGCTTACGATGCACTAGAATCACACAACCCTGCTAACATATAGGATCAGACAATCAGCCCCCTCCCTGCCGAGATGTTCACTTATAGATGGGAGGGGGGGGAAGAACAAAATAATAATAAACAGCTCAGACAAAGAGCTGCTGCCCACAGCAGTGCGTACAGACCACTGCCCACCAGGCTGCGCCTCAGCAGATCGCTACGTACGCTAATGTCAAAACCAGCTCCTATCCTCACTCCTTATCTGACAAGTGCCTCGTAAGTCAGTGTTACAAGCAAAGGCTGGGGAGGGAAAAAAAAAATAAAAAAAAGTCCACATCGTCTCACATATACAATTAGGCGTACAGGCAGGTCACCAGCAGAGAATAGGAACTGGTCAAAACGCAAGGAGGGAGGGGTACACAACATGTGATTTGCAGAGGTGCTCGGTGAAAGCATCCTTCATCACCAGTCAAAACACTGGATCCCCTACATTCAGCACCAGGAACTGAGTGTCATGTTTTAGTGGTTAAACATCTAATCAATTCCTTTTAACCAGTAATAAATACTCTGTCAGAAGTGACAGTAAAATTTAGCCCCAGTAATACAGTTGAGCCCAAAAAGGCTGATCTGGTTGAAACCTGCGTTGACAAGGTCCTAAACCTCAGGTGCCTTCTGTCTGTGCGATAGCCAGCCTTTTCAACTTGTCTAAAACAATCCTAAAATTAAATGAAGTATTTACAAAAGTTACATCGTGCCAAATGTGTTTCCACAGCACATCTTGGAGAAGGGTGACCAAAACAAAGCATGACTGATGAGAAGGGGGGGGGGGGGAAGCCCCCACCCCCCACCCCACCCTACCCCACATCAGAAGAAATTGTTGTTGCCAGGGGAGATGGCTGCTCAGAATCAGGGTGCAGTCCTAACATCTCAACACTGAAGAGCAGGGAGGGTACAGTTTGGGTCGTTATCAGCAAAACGTTCCTTGACCAAAAAGTGAGACCCAGACCCCTCCTTCCCCCATAGCTGGGACCAGAGAACACAAATCACACTTCCCCAGAACGAAGATCCCATGTGTCATGTGACAGTCTTGAGCAGCAAATGCAGCGCAGATCTATTCCCATCTCGACATCTCCAAATCCTCACTCGCCGTCAGAGGGTGGAGTCTCATTTCATGTGTTCGGACGGGCAGGTTTCCCCCCCCCTCAAAACAAAATATGGACCTCATGAAATCAGGGACGGGACACTGAACGATGAAGTCTGAGAATAAGGAGGTTATTACTCTGAAAAAGTTCAGCTGCTTAAGGCACTTGATAAATTGCTAAAAACCTTAAAACCAAAAACAGCAAGGGGAGGAGGCAGAAATCAAGGGAAAAAAAAAAATAAAAAAAAAATGGTGACAAGTGCTGGCTGAGGGTAGATAGCCATACTGCAGGGAAGAGGCTGGGTGTTGGGTGTCTGCTTTGAGAAGAGCCTCTCTTGGTCCCCTCTGCTCTTTAGGAAGCGGTAGTGCACTTAAAACGTCCTCCTGTCGGTGGAAAAGGCGGCCAATTCGTCCCAACGTCTGTTTGCAACTCACATTCCTTTTCATTTGCTGGCACAAAAGAAATAAATTAAAAAAAAAGAAGGTTTGGAAGATGGAAGGTTTATGCATTTCAAAATATATAAATCCTCCCAAAAAGATATGGGGTGGGGGGAGGAGGGGGGGGAACCTGTGGGGAGAGGAGAGAAAGATCCAGTTAAGGCTGACACACTCCGGCATAAAGTCTAGAACCGCAAGTGGCTACCAATGGCATGAATTCCATGAAAAAACATGAATCAGTCTTCAGCGGCAGTTTGAGCCGGACCCCAAAGGGCTCGTCACATTCAGCTGAGCGACGGAAAACGAGACCTTCAGGGGCTCACCTGTCCTCAGAGTTTCAGCTCCTCCCCGCTCTCGCTGTGATATTCTGCCACATACAGGCTCTTGTCAATGCTGCCTGGAATGGGCTTGATCTCCGTCCCCAACTGCTCCTCGATGCCCTTCAGGTTGAAGCGGTCGTCGTACGTGATCAGGTTGATGGCCAGGCCCAGATGTCCAAAACGTCCTGTTAGGGAATGGAAGCCGGAGTGAGTTTCACACGCAGCAGATGGACCCTGTGCCTTTCTGTAGATAGATGACACTGCTGTAGCATAGGGCATCCCCCTCTGGGGGAGCCAGGTCCCAGGAAGAACATCACGTACCAGACCGGCCAATGCGATGCAGGTACGTTTCTCCCAGCTTGGGAAAATCGAAGTTGATCACCACATTCACAGCTTGAATGTCAATTCCTCTGGTGAAGAGGTCTAAAAATGACAGAAGGCAGATAAGACCAGGGGTGGCAAACAATTTTGAAGCAATCCACAAAAATAAAAACCCCCACACACGCCAATAAAGGTAACTAGCAGCATGTGTCAGCTGTAAGTAGTCTGAAGATCAGCCCTTTGATACGAGTTGAAGGCAATGTGAGGCAGTTGACTGAACTCCAAATAGCCTGTATATGAAATACAGGTGCAGCAGACAAGTTACAGATTTAATGTGTCAAGGGGAACAGTCTCAAACTGACAGCATGTGAGGAACACAAACGGCAAAGGAACAGTGATGACAGACCAAGACACGAACAGCAGTCACTAAACACCATAAGAATAGTGTCAAATCAGCAAACCAGTGACCCACGCAAGAGCAACATGCTGAGAGCTTCCTAAGGCCGGAATTTACGGCAGACCTGCCACTGGGACTCGTACCCAAGGCCGATGCACAAAGCATTGCTTGGTGTCAGCATTCATAAAACCTGCACCTTAACTTTGCGAGGTCTGATTAGTCATTTGTAACCTTTTTGTTACATCAACGTGTTTGTCTGAAGACAAAGGATTCCTTCAACCTACAGTGTTGGCCTGGGCAGTCATCTTGTGGGAGTCGTTAGATCCAATGACAAGCACACCCTACAGAGCAAACACTTCCCACATGCGGTACCCAAATTCTAAGAGGGCTTTTCGACTGCACCAGGTACCATACTTTTGGTACTTCAGTAAAAGTCTAGTATCTCTTTGTTAGCTTTCCACTGGCGTATAAACTGCTACCGCCACTGAATATCACAATGCAAGGTGGGGTATTTTGCAATAAACCACCACTACATTACAGGGGTGGGCGATGCGCGATACTGGTACCATCATTTTATTTTATGCGGATGCAGTTCTACATCACATGGACCGCTAGGTAGAGATCAGGCTTTTTCATACCCACATATTACACAAACATTATAGCATGGGAGGGGGGGTGCTTACAGTTGAAGTACCAAAGTACCTTAAACCTACCCCAGCTGGAGTGGTACTTTGGGTAATGGATTTTTTTTTGTACTTGTACTCGACCGGAAATTAATGGCAAAGGGACCATACAGAAAGTGTCAAAAGTCAGTGGAAAAGTGCCCTTAGATAACAGAACCACACACACACACACACACACACACACACACAGAATTATTTCACCCCAACATTCATGAAGCCAAAACACTTTCCTTTACCTACCCAATCACACAACTGAACCTCACTTTGCTTCACAACAACCCTAATGCTTTCCAAGGTCAGAGCACATCCCACGATGGAGCTACAGCCCAGGCACTATGCTTCCCGCCAAAGCCACGCATTCGCGCATCACCTACCAGTGCAGACGAGATTCCGACAGAGGCCGTTTCTGAAGTCATGGAACACGCGGTTACGGTGCTCCTAAAAGACAAAACATCACACATTGAGAGACGTGAGCGGGCAGAACGGCTGCCTGCCTACTGGAGCAGCGCTCGGGCCACACCTGTCTCATCTTGGCGTGAATATAGAAGCAGGAGTAGCCCAGCTGGGAGATCTTCTTGGCCAGCAACTCAACACGTTGGGATGAGTTGCAGAAGATTATAGACTGATTAATCTGGAGCTGGAGAGGATACAGAGGAGGAAAAAAATAAATAAGCCAGGCACCATGACAGTACGCAACCGCACGGGGGTCTTACAAGTGCTCACCCGGGAGAAGAGCGTGTTAAGGCAGTGGACTTTCTGTCTCTCAGTCACATAGGCGTAATACTGGGTCACTCCCTTCAGAGTCAGCTCCTCCATCAGGTTAATCTCATACGGCTTCTGCAGATGGGAGCCCTGCAGGGGAGGGAGTAGAACATCATCCAAGGACATCAGAGTGCCAGCACTGCGGCTGGGGGCTTTGCGGGAGCCCCAAAGAGCACGGAAACAGGCCTCTTTCACCTCAAATTAGTGTGGCGTGTCATGCCTGCAATTTTTTTATTTTTTTTTTTTTTTTTTTTTAATTACAGGACAGTTCAATTACCCTTCCAGTAAGAAAGGACCTCCCTGTAGGCAAACACCAATCGACATCACAGCTGCACAAGGTAAACAGCATCGTCTTAACTAAACCATTATTGCTAGCAGACTGCCAACTGACGTTTTTGACATGAGTGAGGTCGCGAGTAATCAACTACTAGCCAAGTAACAAGACGAATGAACAAACATATGGAGCCAAGAGCTGCCAGAGAACTTACCATGAATTTCTGCACGCTAAGTGGAAACGTGGCTGAATACAGCAAGATCTGCCTCTGTTTCGACAAGAAACTCAGAATCTCCTCCATCATCTGCACAAAGTCCTGGGACAGGAGCTTGTCCGCCTGTTCAGCAATACGGGAAATTTAGCGGGGGATAAGTGTACTCGTCAGCACAGCATCTTTATCACGAGCCGAAGCGCACACACAACCAAGAGGACTCACCTCATCCAGCACAATCATCTGCACCTGATCCACTTTGGCCACTCCCTTTTTGATGAGATCCAGAATCCTTCCGGGGGTAGCAATGACAACATGCACTGCGTGCAGAGACACACATTCAGTTCTCTCTTCCTGTGCCAATCTACTCCGATGCACAACTCCAGCACCAACTCACCCGTCTCGTCGAGCCTCATGATGTCATCGCGAAGGTTGGTGCCCCCTGTGGTGGCCATGACTTTTACCCCACCCATGTGTTTGCTGACCTGGATGCAGATCTGGCTCACCTGCAGAGCCAGTTCTCTGGTGGGCACAATGACCAGGGCTGCAGGCAAGAGACACAAGAACATTTGCCTCACACAAAAACCACCGATCACACCAGCTCCAGACCCCACCACAAAGGCACATACTACTGAGCAACTGGTTTATAAGAGCTGTGTTACGATAAGCTAGTCAGCCACCATAAATACACAGCTGAAGCCCCAAGGCAGGAGCATTCCGCCATACCCTGTATGCAGTCCTTCTTCAGGTCAATGCGTTCAAGTAAGGGAATGAGGTAGGCGCCACTTTTGCCAGTGCCGTTCTTGGCTCTGGCCAGGATGTCCCTCCCAGACAACGCAATGGGAATGCTTTCCTCCTGGAAAATGATACAGATGCACAAACATTGACACAAGTGTCCACAGGCCCAGATATGCAACGACCTCGTTCCCAGAGCAAATTCCGGTCACGTACCTGGATGGGTGAGGGTTTCTCCCAACCCATCTCAAAGATCCCCATCAGGAGCTCCCTCTTCAGGCAATAATCTTCAAACTCATTGCCTTTTGTGGCCGTCACATCCTGCAAGGTCCCAAAGCAAAAATTGACTCACGAATTACTCTAAGAACAGCAGCAAAGCAATAACAATGAGACAGCACAGATATAACACATGACAAACTAATGCAGGCAAAGAGGAATATCAGTATGTTTGTGATCTGCTGCAGTTGAAACATTACAGGCACCCACATAGAACAGGACACACAACCAAACTGACGGCATTACTGAGTAGCAGTGTCAAGTTCATTTGTTCTTCATTCATGTCAATCTGTGCTTCTTACCGAAGTTTTCATTCTCATATCTTTAGGAGGAAGTTTTAGATTCTTCTTCCAGTCATCTCCAGGCCTGTCAAAGGGAGAATTACTTCATTTAGTCATCAGAAACCATGTTCATTTTACAAGAGGAATGGGACAAAAGGAGCCAATTAGCCAGTTACTTTGCATAGAAAAAGACTTTACTGATATCTGAAGAATAATTATACAGAACAATGTTTATTTCAAAGAACTTTAAGGATAACCAAGAGCAGTCAGTAATAATAAAAAAAAGCATCCCAACAAAATCTGTCCCCCCTCCCCAAGTCACTAAGGGGAGAGGGGAAGTATAAAAAGAAACATTTCAAAAGTCAATTTTGTACAACTCCAGACAACGTTGGTTGTTGAGGATATGAACGGAAGTAGCAGCAGGACGGAACAACATGAGCCCATGGCTCTGGCTACAGATCTGCAACTGACCGGAGCATTTACACTTGGACTTCACAGCTCTATAGGAGGGACTTACTTGATGACTGTGTTGGCTGTGGGCATGGGCTGGGAGCTGCCGTTGTTGATTGTGCTGGATGACTTTACCTGACTGGTCGGCTGCAGCTGGGCCCCACCCCCGCCACCACTGGGGCCCCCTGCTGGCTTCACTGATCCTCGTAGCTGACCATTCTGACTGGACAATCCCAGGATCACTGGGTTCTCTGTTCTAGCGGTGCTCATGGCTACTCAGTTCAACAAATATTTCAAATCAATCCAAGTCTTAATATAGAGAATCGTCTCTTCTCAAATGTTTGAGAGAATCCGAAAAATCCCGGACTCAGTCTCTGGTTAATAGAAAGAGCTTCTTCCTTGAGTCAGTCTTTTTCATCAATATTTTAATCCTTCGTTTAATGTTTTTATGTCTTGCTCAGTAAATGAGTCAATATTGCAAAGCATGAGACACTGGCACAGTGCTGCCACACCCCACCTCTGTGGTTCGGGTCCCCTAAGACAATCCAGTGGTCAACAAGCCAGTGTCAGTCATTTTATTACTGTGATTTTCTTCTCTTTTTTTAAATCCACTCTTGCTCCAATTTATCTTCAATATGTTTACTTCATTTCCTCAGGTGCTTCCTGTGGCACAAATAAGAGGCGTATAAGAAACGGTTCAGTTTAAGAGTGTTTGAGAGATTAAACAGGCATCAGCGTGGATGCAGAACGTGGACAGACGTTCAGGAGCTAGTGGCAGGAGGCCCAGAGTAAGGCTGTGTACAGCAGTAGTACACGTTATAGTAGCAAGTAACCAATAATCAGCCCCAAAGCGAACCTCCTACACTTGAGTAGATCAACAGCAACACGCAACAGTTTAACTCGGGCAAAGTGAAAGTCTCTACCGTCCGAGCCGGTTATGTGGCATTTCAACCAGCCCAGCTGGGGAAGAAAGCGGGCGGCTGGCCAAAGGCCCGGACAAATCCAACCTTCGTAAGAACACTTCACATCTAATTGGTTAACAATAGGACTGGATCAAACATTTCACAGCTGGCTCTACTAAGCCGGACCTTACTAACAAGGCACGGGGGCTGATAACCGCGACTAGTTAATCGACTGCGGCCCAAACCCCACTCAGTAGCTCCTAACTTCTAACTAGTTCCCTAGACGGTCACTAACCAGGGGTAAAGTTAGTTATGGCGTCAAACCGTGATAAAACAGCCAGGTGGAGAGCCTCTGGGCCGGACACGTATGCTAACGATTACCAGTCGGCCAGTAGGTTAACTTGCACTGCTGAACCGAAACCGAATATCCCGAAGGCCGTCACCTCGACAACTAACCAAAACCATAACCGGTTAACCCCAGACGGACTGGACTTTTAGTGACGTTAGCGACGAAACGTCCACACATTCGACTGCAAGCTAAGCTGCTAACTAGCACCCTGTGGCTAACAGGCTAGCTGAACAGGGCAAAAGCGTAGATATTTGAAATAATTAAATGGCGTTAAATATACCAAAATATATCATTTGCAATAACCGCCCAGGCTACGTCGAAAGTAACTTAATTTCTTAACGGGTTAAATGTGACAAAAAGTCTTAGTCGTTAAAAACGTCACAAGCATAAACAAAAAATAATAATCATAAACCAACAAATTATCGAAGGAGGCTTTGAAATACTAGCCTGTTAACGGAAAAGGACAAAGCAGAAGTTCGCAAGCAGTGAAGCCGAGGCGTATTTACCGCGGATGGCGGAGATTACCGCTACGCTTTTGGCTGTATGTCTTATTTGGTCTGCTGTAGCTCGTCAGCTTTACTCTCTTTAAGCAGAAGCTCTAAGATGGCTTCCCTTCTTCTTAAACCCTGCCCATCTCGTCAGCTGACGGAGACCGACAATTAACGGAGTCGGTCGGACACACTCGTAAACGTTCGAGTATATGCGGAACTGTTCGGACTCACTCGGTCAAGCTCGGGAATATTCGTACATACTCGGTCTTCCTCGGGTTGATGTTTTCGCGTGAGTGGGTTGCCGCATGTTATTGTGAGGAGGATTGCTTGTTCTGAAGTCGCTTCGGGACGAATGTCGCTCAAGATGTTTTCTCCATTTAAAAAAAAAAACGTGGTCTGACCAATGGCTTGTTCTCTGATGATTCGTGTTTGTCAAATTTATATGCACATTTAATTAATATTGTAATAATGTATATCTAGTGCTAGCTCATTTGAGCCAAGTGGCCATATTGTCGCTTTCATTGTGCTTGTTTTTAAATGTCATTTCATTAGTGTGACTTTTCATAAGAACTTTTCCTAAGATGTTCAGACTGCCTTTTTTTTATTACAGTGGACATCTTTTAAATTTTAAAGTCACTAACCTTTTGTTCAAATCTAGCTCTTCCCCCTCCATCTCTCCTAACATAGGGTGGCTTTTTCTTCAAAAAATTCAAGGTGGTTACAAATATTTGAGGGAAAAAAGTGATCAAAATGTTTGACACGGTCCAAAAGGTGTCACATTATGCAGTGACACGAGAAATTCTGTATGTGGTTATAAAATATAATTAGCCTGACATCTAATTATCATTTCATACATGTTAATCAATGTGAACTGTGCTTCAGTGCAAGGGAACAGGAATCGTATCACACCAAGAGGGCATTTCTGAACGTGGCAGTGCTTGCTTTGAGGATTAACCTGACAGGGCTGTCGACATTCCATGGCCATTAAAAGACTCAATATACGGAAAGCAAGGTGTTGCCAGATGTGTAAACTGTACACCAGGACAAAGCTCAGCAGCAGTAGTGAAACGTAACCACTGTTTGCCGTAATGTGTATTCATGTGACACTGGGTAGGCTGTTTTGTCATAACAAAACATGGGGCACGTGTGTGTGCACGCCCACACACACACACACACACACACACGCACGCACGCACGCACGCGCACACACGCACGCACGCACACACACACACACACACAAACTCACACGGCGTCAATGAGCAGAGGACAAAAACTGCTTTAACAGCCTTTTCTCCCCCCTCCCCAGATTTTTAGGCTTCTATTAAAACACAGTTATACAGAACAGTTGCAAACAACCACAAATTGCATCATATATACAGCACCGATATATATATTTATGTATTCTCATTCACAACAGTTTGGTAGCCAGAGGAAAAAATCCAAATAAAGTGAAAATAGATAAAAATTACTATCTGCAGCCCTCTCCTAACTAGCTTCCCCACCAAATTTACTGATCTGTGAAATGTACATATTTTACAGGTATAAAAATGGCTTCACAATGATCTGATTTATTGTTTAGTACCATGTCAAAGGCAATCTTCGATATTACAAATTTTTTTTCTTTTTTAAACTTTTTTTTTTTTTTTTAAGATGACCCATTTAAGATGAACCATTTTTTTTCAGTTTTTATCCAAATTAAAAGAGCATTTAAGGACAGCAATACTAATGACACAAGTTGCCATAGTAACATTGATAATACCATAAGGACATAATAGAGAGCAGTTTTTACAGATTGGGGGAGGTGATTCAGAAGGGCATGTTGGCCATGCCACCGTGCCCGTAGCCCAAGGGACTGTCCAGGGACATGCCGCGCTGTCTCAGGGGCTGGGGCCCCATCATCACGGGGCCCTGGGGGGACATCAGCAGCCCCTGGGGTCCATAAGGGTCTCCGGGGACGGACAAGGCTCGCTGCTTGGCCTGCATCATCATGAGGCTCTGCTGATGCTGCTGGGGCGACATCACGCCAGGGTGGGGATGTGGCGCTTGGTGCAGGATGCTGTCGGCCATCATGGCCTGCTGCTGATGGTGGTGATGGTGCTGTTGTGGCTGGGGCATCATGGCTGTCCTGCCCATGCCGTGCCCAGGATGACAGGCAGGGCCCATGCCCGGCCCTGGCGCCAGGCCCCGCGGCCCACCGGGGGGCATGCCCATGCCCATGCGCATGGCTGGGTGTGACGGGTGGGGCGGCTGCAGTTGCTGCTCTGCCATCATATTCTGCAGGCTGGCGATGTGGGGGTTGGACGAGGGGGCGCCGGCCAACGCAGGGCCGCCCGGGGGGTGCGGCTTCAGGAGCTGGGGGCCCGGGACTGGCCCCTGGTGTGACTGGGCCTCGCTCTTGGGGAAGTACTGCAGGGTGCTGCTGGGCTTGTCGGCCGGGATTATGCGCGACAGGTCGAACTCGGGGATCCCTGTGGGAGTCGGCCGGATGACGTCGCTCAGGTCGGGGCTGTCCCCCGCTGGCACGGGGTGGAAGGCATCCACGGGGTGCGGGGGCCTCTGCTGGGGCAGCCCCTTTCCCAGTAGCTGCAGCTGGTGGTGGGGAAGCACCTCGTCTGGTGGCTGAGGGTACTGCTGAGGCATGCCGGGCCCGGGGGAGTGCAGTGGCCCCTGGGGGGGCGGCTGCATGCGGGAGAAGCCCCCCATGAGGTTCTGCTGGAGCATTGGTGAGACGCTGCAGGGCTCCATCCCATCTGGGGGGCCCCCCATCATGCCCGGGGTCATGCCAGGCATGCCCATGGCGCCCGGCGAGTGAAGCAGCGGCCCGGGGGGTTCGTGGGACAGTGGGGGCTGTCCCTGCAGGACCATTCCCATGGGACTCTGGGCTCCACTGGAGGGGCCCATGGAGCTCTGGGAGGCGAGCATCATCTGGGAGGACTGGTGGCTTCCCATGTTTCCTGGGGGGGGAGGGGGGTGCAGGAGAGCTTGAATGCACTGAGCAGCCATCTACTCACAGCCAACGATTACAGTGTTTCAGGGGAGGACAACACAGGCTGATAATAAAACACGTCATATTTAGAATCCTCTTTTCTAGTGTGGCGTGTGAAAAAAAAAACTACTTTTTGGAATGTGTGATTGGCATACCTGTCATGTTGACGCCAGGCATTAGGGGGCGATCCGGAAGCATCTCGTCATCGGAGGTGGCGATGGTCTTGATGGCGTCATGGTAAAGTGGCGTGGAGCTGGGCATCGCATACTTAGACATCTGGGACATGAGGGACAGGGGATTTTGGGAAGTGGGCACCCCATCAGGGGAAGAGGTGAACGGCATGCTGGGATTCATGGAGCCGGGCTGACTGATGGGGGTGGAACTGGTGCTTCTGGGAGGGAGGGAAGGCCCTGCGAGACAGGAGGACGCACAGTGTCACAAACGGCAGCGTTCTCTCACAGAAGATCGATTAACCCTTGGGGCGTTTGGTGCCCGGTCACATCTGACCCCCACGGGGTCCTTACCGGTTTCGGTCGAGCTGCTCCCTCCATTTCCAATGCCCTTGCCACTGGGCGGCCCCCCTGGGCTGGGCATCGTCGTCTTGGGGGAGGCCACCCAAGCGGGGGAGGCCACGGGCATGGCTGGTGATTTCAGACGGCCGGGGGAGCCGGTGGGGGAGCGCAGGCCCAAAGAGGAGGGGCCCATCACCTGGGGGGACTTCATGGAGGAAGACGGGGTTCCCACTCCACTCGTAGCTGGCAGCGGTGGAGGAGGGGGCCCTGTGGCGGACATCTGAGGGGGGGAAGACTTCAGGCTGGGGGCAGAGGGGGAGGGCATGAGAGGAGAGGCCTCCTGGCTGAGGGAGGGCGATTTCAGCTGATGGGGCAGAGGAGTGGCCGGGGAGCCCATGGGATTGGCGCCGATGGAAAGGTCCGAGGGGTGGCGCTGGCCAAGCTCAGGGCCCCGGGGGCCTGAATTCATGGGCATGTGGCTGAGCCTGGAGCCCCCCATGAGAGGCGGACCCTGGTGCTCGGACCCAAACATGTCTGGACCCGCTTCCTGGTGGAGGTATCCGCCTGCCCCCGGGCCACCTGGGAAGGGCCCCTGATTGGGGTACTGAAGGGGCCCCCCTCTCCCAGGGGCCATGCCTTTGTTAGCCTGCATGCCGCTGCCCAGCTCCCGGCCGTTCTGTGCTGCTCTGATTCGGGACATTTCCTCCGAGCTCAGCATCTCCCCCAGGGTACCGGGACCAGGTCCGGGACCGGCCCGCAGCTTCTGCGCCAGGATCATCTGCTGTATCTGGGGGTTCATGTTCACACTGCCCATCGGTGCATCCACCAAGTCTCTGAGGGGGGGCCCCCCTCCGGCACCTGCACCGCCACCCCCCAAGGGAGAGCCCAACATTGCCCTTGAGCTGGCAAAGTCCATGGGGTCGCCTCGAGGGGCCGGGCCCCCACCCATGCCAGGACCCGGGAAACCCCCCCCACCCATGCTGTCCAGTATTCTGGGCCCCCCCAGGCCTACCTGCTGCTTGCCCAGCCTCTCCAACTCCATCCTATGCAGCCCTTGCAGCTGCCTCTTCTCCAGCATGCGAAACATCTCCTCCCGGGTCAAGAACCGCTCCGAATTGACCTGGAGGTGGGGCGGAGGCCCACTGAGGCCCCCGGGGGGGTAGCACCCTGGGAAAGGGCCCCCAGCTCCCACGTTGGGGGGCATGTCTTCGGTCCAGCCCATGCCTGGCCTGGAAGGCCTCTGGTGCCCAATTGCCTCGATAGGCAGCACTCCTCCAGCACCACCTGGGTAGACACCACCACCCCCACCAGCAGGTGGTGCTCTGTGCATCTGCCCCAGGAAGCGCTGTGCCCTCGGCCCTTCCTGGTGCATGTCCATCATGCGGCCGCCGCCTCCCGGCCCCATCCCGCCTCCCGGTCCAATCCCGCCTCCCGGCCCCATCCCGCCTCCCGGCCCCATCCCGCCTCCCGGCCCCATCCCGCCTCCCATCATGGCCGCCGGTGGCCACTGCTGTTCCCCCGGCTTGCTGTGATAGGGCGGCGGGGGCCCTCGCATCATGGGCCCACCCATCCCCGCTTCAGGTATCATCCTGTAGTGGTGGGGGTGCATCTCCTGCTGCCTCCGCTTCTCCTGATAGTACTCCTCTTGCAGCTTCCTCCAGGCCACCTGCTCGGGGGTGAGGCCGTCAGGGCCCAGCAGGCCGCCCACGTCCATGCCAGTGGGCGAGGGGGCCTGGTGATGCAGGGACAGCAGGCCGGCGTGGGGTCCCATGGGCGGCTCGTCCAGGCCAGAGGGCTCCAGGCTCTGCGTCTGCGAGATGATGGACTGCAGGGGCTCCTCATACTTGCGCAGGGGCCCTAGGGGAGGCAGGCCGCCGTTATTGCTGCTGCAGTTAGCGGGGTTGTTAGCGCCATCGTTGGGCCCACCGGGGGCGTCGCCGGTGTTTCCATCCGGCCCCGAGGGCTCCCCCGGGCCAGCCCCACTGCGCAGGAGCAGCCGCTCGATGTCACGCAGCGTCTGCAGTGACCGCTCGCGATGCTCCAGCTGCTCTTTGGAGAGCCTGTCAGCGCCACCAGGCACCCCCACCAGGCCCGGCTCCCGCTGCAGGAGGGACGCCACCGGACTGGGCGAAGGGGAGACACCAGTGGCAGCGTGGGGCAGCAGGGCCGGCCCTTCGGGGTCCCCGGGCCTGGGGGTAGCAGCGGCACCCGGCCCTGGCTGGTGTGCCCCCGGGCCACCGTAGACGCCGGCAGGCCGGCCCTGAGGGAGGTCCTCCTCAGCATTGCCAGAGGAGGTGGGGGTGCTCCCTGACAGCAGGTGACCCCCCGCTCCCCCTCCCACGGAGGCCGGCCGGGGCGTGCCGCTCTGCGATTTGGGCGTGCCGGTCGGGGGGGTGCTGGAGTTCATCTGCTCCGGGAGGGTGGGGAGCTTCACAGGTGGGGGACACTGAGAGAGAGTGAGAAAGAGAAAAAGGAGGGAGGGAAAGCAAGGGGAATGGAGAAGGAGGGACAGAGAAAGAGGGAGAGAGAAAGAGTGGGGGAGGGAGGAAGGGAGAGAGAGAGAGAGAGAGAGTGAGAGGGTGGGCAGGGCCGCCATTAGTACTGGTTTGTGTGTTCATGCATGATTACCATGTACCTGCTCCATAGTGGGACTCACCTTGTCCAGCTTGGCGTGCGGGACGTTCTGCTGGTGAAACGTAACGATGGAGTCGACGTGGCCGTGCATGACGGCGTCCGCCGCACTGAGGGACACAGAGCCACACGGTGACCACAGGACAGAGGGGCCAGCGTCGGCTCTTCCTGAGAGAGCGTTCTTACCTGTTAGCCAGGCTGGTGGTGAAAACATACACCACCTGCTGGGCGGGTCCTGTCCCCAGTCCCCGCCCCAAAGCAGAGCACCCTGATTCGCTGATGGAGCCCATTGGGGGGGGTCCAGTCATGGAATGAGTGGGGCCTGCCACTGAAGGCTCTCCTGGAAAAAAAAGTTTTAAAGTAATTATATTCACTCTACATATACTACACTTTCAGTAAAACACAGGCTTGATGACATCACTTTCCCTCTCAATAGACTGCATTAAATATTTTAATTTAATATTTTAACTCTCATATTTATTTTGCTCTACAAACCAGCTTTTAACTCAATGTTCAGCTTGATTTATGGCTCTGATTACGCATTTCCATAACTCGCCACTAGATGGAGCCAAAACCCATAAAAGTAGACAATTTCTATTTGATCTGTTTTGACTAATGAAAAGGGGGCTAGTTAATGAGAATTAACAGCCCAAACTCTGTTTACACTGCCATGGATAATCCTGTCATTAACCTTGCGGTTATATCCGGTGGTTCCCTCCACAGGAGCCCCCTACAGCTGAATTGCAAGGGAAGCCCCCGTGAGATTAGAGAGCTGAATGGTGAGAATCCACTCTGCTGTCATCTCTGTCACGCTGTCACCGAGTCTGGCAGCTTCACATGTCGCAAATGCGTTACGATTGGCTGGCTGTTATAACCACGTGACCATGACATCCATGCAGAGGACTGACGATACAGCACCATGGCTAACGCTAAGAGCAGGAAGACAGCCATCTGGCACGACCAATAGGGGAATGCCGTTGTGGAGAGCCCCCTGGGAGCCTCCACACCATAGGCTTTAAGCATCATGCACCAGCTCAGTCCCCAAAAGCCAGCACTCACGGTGAGCACCAACGAGCGCTTTGTCCTCGTCATCCTCGGTGTCGGGCCCAGAGCACCACTCGTCCCCGCTGTATGGCTGCTTCTTCACCAGGACACACCGCCGCTTGCTGCGCATGGCGCCCTCTACTGGACAGGTTGTTAATGGACAGATATGGCACAAGGTTCATTTACAGATTACAGATATACTGTATTTTTTTTCCCTTTTAAACAAACTTAAGAAGACAGGTGTTACGTTCCAATTTAAACTAGCTATCAACTAAATAAATGAGGTCAGACTAAAGCATTTACAAATAAGCCGAAGCATGACATCACATCACCCTGGACTGAGATTCATTCCATTGGTTTCATGTTGTAATATTTAGTTACAACATGCGCAGAAAAAACAGGAGTGTCCCTTTCCCACCATCCTAGGACTTCAGATCAAGGGGTGAGACACCATATAGAACAGGAGGCCATACCTGAGAAGGCTGACCAGCCGGCAGGAAGCATAGAGATCAGAAGGCATATAACACGTATATAATCACATATGTGAGGTATATATCAGGTACATAATCACATGTGTGTGAGGTATATATCAGGTATATAATCACGTATGTGTGAGGTATATATCAGGTACATAATCACATGTGTGTGAGGTATACATCAGGTACATAATCACATGTGTGTGAGGTATATATCAGGTATATAATCACATGTGTGTGAGGTATATATCAGGTATATAATTACGTATGTGTGTGAGGTATATATCAGGTATATAATTACGTATGTGTGAGGTATATATCAGGTATATAATCACGTATGTGTGAGGTATATACAACGAGGTATATCCCACGTATGTCCGAGGTATATATCAAGTATATCACACATACATGAGGCATATATCTGATATCCCCATACATCACATACACTATATTGACAAAAGAATTCAATCACTGAATTCAGGTGTTTCATTCAGACCCATTGCCACAGGTGTATAATATCAAGCACCTATAGTATAGAACGAAGAGCATTTCTGAAGAGCTCAGTGAATTCAGGCATGGCACTGTGATAGGATGCCATCTTTGCAATAAGTCAGTTAAATTTCTTCCTTGCTAAATATTCCATGGTCAACTGTAAGTGGTTTATTGCAAAGTGGAAGTGTTTAGGAACAACCATGAGGTGGCAGACCATGTAAAGTATCACCGTGGGGTCGCTGAGTGCAGGGGAGCATAGTGCGTAAAAGTCGCCAACGCTCTGTTGACTCAATAACTGCAGAGTTCCAAACTTCCTCTGGCATTAACCCCAGCATAAAAACTGTGCACTGGGAGCCTCATGGAATGAGATTCCTTGGCTGAGCAGCTGCATGCAAGCCTCACATCACTAAGTGTAATGCCAAGCGTTGGATGGAATGGTGTAAAGCACGCCGCCACTGGACTCTGGCAGTCTGATGGACGAGTCTGGGTTTGGCAAATGGCAGGAGAACTGTACCTGCCTGACTGCAATGTGCCCACTGGAAAGTTTGGTGGGGGATTGCAATGGGGTAAGCAATGTTGGATATTTCAGATCCAGTTGCTCAACTGGTTGGAAGAAACAAAATCTTGGTCTGGATTTGTAGCTTCTGGACCTGAAATGCCCAACACTGGGTGTAGGGTTGTTTTTCAAGCCCCCTAGTACCAGTGAAGGCAACTCTTAATGCTTCAGCATACCAAGTCATTTTGGACCATTCTATGCTTCCAGCTTTGTGGGAACAGTTTGGGGAAGGTCCTTTTGTGTTCCAGCATGACTGTGTCCCAGTGCACAGATCCAGGTCCATAAAGACATGGTTGGATGAGTTTGGTGTGAAAGAACTTGACTGGTCCACACAGAGCTCTGACCTCAACCCCATGAAACATCTTCGGGATGAACTAGAATGGAGATTGTGAGCCAGGCCTTCACATCCAGCATCAGTGCCTGAGCTCATGAATGCTGTTCTACATGAATGGGCAAAAATTCCCACACTCCAAAAGACACACTCCAAAATCTTGTGGAAAGCCTCCCCAGAAGAGTGGCAGCTGTTATGGC